CTCGGACCCCACACCAAGCAATTTGATTTCAGTGCGGAGTGCAGTGCTGGCACCAGGCTCCTCCCAGCACTATTCCCCCTTGCCGGTGCCTAAAAAGTGGAAAAAGAAGAGCCCCCCCAGCACCAGAAGGGAAAGGGGCTTTGGGCAAAGGCCATGTGCCTGCCCTGGGGCTTCACGGGGCTACCGTGGAGGTTGGACTCCCCAGCCCAGCCAGGATCCACCTCTGACTCTGGGGAGCGGCAGGGGACCCCGGCCTCTCCCAGGGCTCTCATTGCCCGAAGCAGCCCTGGCAGCTAAAGAACAAGTAGGCCATCTGGCACCGCAGATGCCGCAGAAGGCTCAACTAAGACCTTGACATCTAAGGGCAAGCCGATCATGGGATGCCTCATCGGGCAGTGGAGCACCCTCAGTCACTGGACCTCAGGCGCAGATCTCCATCTCCGCAGCCTTGGACCCAGGCACTGTATCCTAGGTCTCCGACCAGAAGGCCCAGGTCCTCAACACGCTCTACCTCTACAAGACATGGGACACCAGAGTCGAGGCACCGGTACCAGCAAGCTTCCCATCAAAGATCAACACGGCCCAGGTCACCTTCTCCAGACAGTCTCCCAGACGTTAGTCCCTGCCCGGGTGGGGCCGCTCCTTGTCACGGCATTGGTCCCATTCTCCGCGGTACTGTTCACTGCGCAGGCACCGTTCCTCGCCCTCGCCTTGCCAGTCGCCAACCAGAGTCCGTCGACAGACTCAGGCCTCGATGGCTTTGCCCTGGTCGTCGGAAGGGCAATGGTATACTGGCATACAGAGTATACTTATAAAGTTTGTGGATGATACCAAGCTGGGAGGGGTTGCAAGTGCTTTGGAGGATAGGATTAAAATTCAAAATGATTTGGATAGACTGGAGAAATGATCTGAAGTAAATAGGATGAAATTCAATAAGGACAAATGCAAAGTACTCCACTTAGGAAGGAACAATCAGTTGCACACATACAAAATGGGAAATGACTGACTAGGAAGCAGTACTGTGGAAAGCGATCTGGAGGTCATCGTGGAACACAAGCTTAATATGAGTCAACATGTAACGCGGTTGCAAAAAAAGCGAACATCATTCTGGGATGTATTAGCAGGAGTGTTGTAAACAAGACATGAGACTTAATTCTTCCGCTCTACTCCGCGCTGATTAGGCCTCATCTGGAGTATTGTGTCCAGTTCTGGGCGTCACATTTCTGAAAGGATGTGGACAAACTGGAGAGAGTCCAGAGAAGAGCAACAAAAATTATTAAAGGTCTAGAAAACATGACCTATGAGGGAAGATTGAAAAAATTGCATTTGTTTAGTCTGGAACAGAGAAGACGGAGAGGGGACATGATAACCGCTTTCAAGTATGTAAAAGCTGGTTAAAAGAAGGAGGAAGAAAAAATGTTTTTCTTAACCTCTGAGGATAGGACAAGAAGCAGTGGGCTTAAATTGCAGCAAGGGAGGTTTAGGTTGGACATCAGGAAAAACTTCCTAACTGTCAGGGTGGCTAAGCACTGAAATAAATTGCCTAGGGAGGTTGTGGAATCTCCATCGTTGGAGATTTTTTAGAGCAGGTTAGACAAACACCTGTCAGGAATGGTCTCGGTAATTAGTCCTGCCATGCGTGCAGGGGACTGGACTAGATGACCTCTCGAGGTCCCTTCCAATTCTATGATTCTGTGGTCCGAGTCGGACCAGGAGTTCAGCCCGTCACCAAGGAGAGGTAATTCGCTGCCGACTCATGATACTGGTGCGGCACCTGCAGTGACAACGTGGCAGCAGTCTGCTCAGTGGCCGTACTGGAACCCATGAGCGTGCCAGTAATGCCGGACCTGTGTTCCCACCAGTCCTCCCTGGCTGCCTCGGACAAACGGCCCCAGCACCACCGGCACTGGAGTCCGAACGTAACACCGAATCCAATGCAGGGAGAGCGCACCAAACCCCAGCACCTAAGGAGCTGTCCCCGTATTGGGAGCGGGAACCTGCTCCTCCACAGGTGGTGCAGTCATCGTCGTCTTCCCCGGACGAAGCGGTGGCAGGTCCCTCCAAAACGGGCAGTCCCCCCAACGACTTCAAGGAGCACCAGGCCCCCCTTAAAAGGGTTGCTGCTAATTTGAACCTACTAATTGAGGAGGTTGCAGAGGAGTCCGATGACCTCTTTAACGTTATATCCTCCTCCGCCCCGGCCTGGGTCGCACTGCCCGTCCCCCCAGGGTCCTTAAAATTGTCAAGTCATTGTGACAAATGCCCTCTTCCATTCTGCTGACTTCTAAGAAGGTGGAAAAGAAGTATTACATCCCTACACACACCCTCCAGCGGCTTCACTGGTCATGTCCTCTGTGAATGAAAGGGACAGGCAAGGTGACGTTAGTGGCACGCCAAAGAACAAAGATGCCAAGAGACTCGATTTATTTGGCAGAAAGATTTATTCAATAGCCAGCCTACAATTGAGGGTGTGTTAGGCAGGTACAATTTTAACCTGTGGGACTCCTTTAACAGATTCAAAGAGCCCTCTCACAGGATCGAGCCCAGGAGTTTGCTGCTGTGGTGGACAAGGGCACAACAGTGGCAAGAAGGGCCCTCCAAATAGCCTGGAACACTACTAACTCAGCAGCCAGGATAGTTGCTTGTGTGGTGGTCATGAGGCACAGCTCCTGATTGCAGTCCTCCGGGTTGCCCCAGGAAATGCAGGCCACTATTCAGGACCTCCCATTTGAGGGGGCGGGGCTCTTCGAGCTCACGGACTCAAGGCTCCATGGCCTTAAAGATTCCCAGGACACCCTCTGCTCCTTGGGCCTTCACCCTCCTTAGCAGTTCAGGAAGCCATTCCATCCTCCACCTCCTCTGCCCCCGCAGTCTAGGTCCTGGGGAACTCCCCAATCGGGTTCCTACATGAGGAAGGACAGAGACAAGGGGTCTAAGTGGCGACACCCTTCATCTTCCCGCTCATCTGCTCAGCCTGATCTGCCCAGGAGGCCAGAAGCAGTCCATTTTGAGGGTGCACTCAAGGATGACGCCCAGTCACTTCACTGGATCCACCCTCCCTCTCTCTCCTCGACCGTCTCCCCAGCTTCCGGTCAGCCTGGTCTCAGCTAACCTCAGACCATTGGGTGCTAGAAGTAATATCCTCAGGTTACATCCTGCAATTCATAGTGCCAGGTTGGCCGCACCAGCATTGGTTCGGCATGCTCCTGAACCTCTTGGCCACTCCATTCCAGTTACTGCTCAGGCTGGACCTACTATCCCAGAACCATGGCAGTCTCCTGCATCCAAATCTGGCGGCACTGCATCCTACAGCTTGGCTACTGCATAGTTAAATGCACAGGAGCAGCAGTGCTTGGCTGATGTCCAAGAGGTCCTGTTGGGCAGTAGAAAGCCCTCCACCAGAGCAACCTACCTGGCCAAATGGAAGCGGTTTGCCTGCTGGACCTTGGACAAAGGCGTTAAGACTGAGCGAGCCTCTCTGCAGTTAATCCTGGACTACCTTCTGCATCTCAAGCTCCAAGGCCTATCCCTTTCATCTGTCAAGGTCAACTTGACAGCTATCTTGACCTTCCATCTGCCGCTTGAGGGAAGGTTGTTTTTTGCCCAGGACATAACTGCCAGGTTCCTCGAGGGCCTTGAACACCTCTACCCACACATTCCTCCGTGGAACCTCAATCTGGTGCTGTCTCGGCTCATAGGACCCCCCCTTCGAGCCTCTGGCTTCCTGCTCTCTCCTCCTCCTCCTTTCCTGGAAGGTTGTGTTCCTGGTTGCAGTAACATCTGCCTGCAGGGTCTCTGAGATTAAGGCACTCACCTTGGAACAACCCTATAGGGTCTTTTACAAAGACAGGGTCCAGCTGAGGCCCGACCCAGCTTTCCTGCCCAAGGTGGTCTCTGCCCAAGGTTTCATACAGGCCAGAACATTTACTTTCCTGTCTTTTTTTCCAAAGCCACATAAGTCGGAGGAGGAGGAGCATAGGCTGCATTCCCTAGATGTCAGAGGGTGTTAGCCTTCTACATTGAAAGGACCAAGCCATTCTGCAAGTTGACACAACTGTCCATCACTGTGGCTGACGGGATGAAAGGTCGCCCAGTGTCTGCTCAAAGAATTTCTTCTTGAATCACCACCTGATCGTTGCTGCTGCCACGATCAGGGAAAAGTGCCATCCCCGGTGATTGTAACTGCTCACTTGACCAGGGTGCAGGCCTCTTTGGCAGCTTTTCTGGCCGAGGTGCCTATCCAGGACATCTGTAGGGTGGCCACCTGGCTGGCCGTCCATACATTCACGGCCCACTATGCACTTACCCAGCAGGCCCAGGACAATGCTGGCTTCATAGAATCATAGAATATCAGGGTTGGAAGGGACCTCAGGAGGTCATCTAGTCCAACCCCCTGCTCAAAGCAGGACCAAAATCCCCAATATTTGCCCCAGATCCCTAAATGCCCCCTCAAGGATTGAACTCACAACCCTAGATTTAGCAAGCCAGTGCTCAAACCACTGAGCTATCTCACCTCCCCGGTATGGCAGTTCTACAAGCTGCTAAACTGTGAACTCCGAGCCCACCTCCGAGAATACTGCTTTTGAGTCACCTAGAATGGAATCGACATGAGCAAGCACTCAAAGAAGGAAAAACAGTTACCAACCTTTTGTAACTGTTGGTCTTCAGGATGTGTTGCTCATGTCCATTCCATTACTCGTCCCTCTACCCGTCCCTATTGCCGGCAAGAAGGAACTGAGAGTGCGTAGGGTCGGCAGCGCCTAATATACCGACGCATGAGCATGGCACTCAAGGGGGCGCCAGAGCCTACCCTATGGATACCACTAAGGCAAAAGTCTCCAACAACTGTGCACGTGGGCATGCACACACCTAGAATGGAATGAACATGAGCAACACAGTTACAAAAGGTGGGTTACCAGTTTTTTCCTATGGAAGATGAAAGATAACACTGATTTAAGATTACTGCATTCTATTAATAACGTATCCTTATTTTATTTCAGTTACCATGCAGCAGGTAGCCAGGACAGTGGCAAAAGTGGAGCTCTCAGACCATGTGTGTGATGTGGTGTTTGCTCTTTTTGATTGTGACGGTGAGTGGCTTTAATCTACTGTAATTGGTCTGACCTTTTCATAGTCCCAGCATGTTCCCAATGTGTTGTGTAGTTTAACTGTATTTCAAAAAAAAAAAAACCCTGAAAGAATCAAGCTATAAAAGCCAAATATGTTATATTTGTGCATTTCAATAACATTTTCTTTTCAAGGGATGAGTTGGTTGTATCTGACAAACCTTTATCAACATCAGAGCACTCTCCTATTGTTCCCCATTTTGCCATTTATAATGTAGAGAGATACTAAAAGTAAGATCAATAACCAGAGGCAGTCAAAATGAATGAGATTTGGAGGCTTGCTTTCTTCCACCCCACCACCACCCCCTCGCCCCAACTGGCTTAATTATCTATTGTTTTCATTTCTGCTCTCCAGCTTATCAGTAGCATGAAAATACTACTAGACTTTGGCCTTCCATAGCATTATTATCCATTTCATGGTGATATTCACTGTTCCCTTCACACTGTGTTATAGTTCACTGTTTGTGTTGTGGTCTGTATTAAAAGCTTATACTTTTCCAGAGGGTTTCGTTAATGGCATTCAGTGCTCTCTGAAAGTTTTCATATATCTATCTAACTTAAGAGTTTGAGGGTTTTGTAGGTCAGATTTCTGGCTGAATAGCTCACTGCAGAGAGAAAGCAGACTATCTTCTGCTCCCAGAAACATTATACGTTTAACATAATTAGCAATTATGGCCTATTGTTGGTAATAAGAATATTTAGCACTAACACGGTACTTTATATTTACAGCTCTGTACAAACACTTGCTAATTAATGGTAGCAATGTGCATTGCCATGCAAGAAGCCTGGAATTTATTCCCAGTAGTTTGCTCTTTCTGGCCTGCTCTTGTCATTCAAAAGCAATCTCAGGTTGATTAAGGAGGAAAATTACTGAGCTCAGAAGTGTCTCCAGCCATATAGGATGATGACTGCAGTGCAGGTCTCAAAAGTGGGAGCTGAAAAATGGAAGTTGAAGAGATCCAAACTCCTCCAGCAGGGATGCTGAATTAACAATTTTTGGTTAACTCAATGGCCAGCTCAACGAGTAGATGCACTGTGTCCCCTACACAGCAGAACCAAAGTTCAGTTAAAGAAACTAAGAACCATAATCTCTAATGCTAAACTAGGTTTTGCAGATCTCATATATAAGGATTTTATTCCAGCTGTGGTGATTTTTCAGTATCCCACTAACTAGTTTAATTTTTCCGTTGTGGACAGAAACTCAGGGCTGGATGATGTCCTCTGTGAACAGTAGCAGAAACATTCAAAACTGCAGTATACGTGCCATGCGTTCAGACATTCAAGTGAAACATTACACTCTGGTAATAATTGGACCAGGCAAACCAAGAGCATCCTCTGTGCAATGGCATTTTGTGGAGTAAGCAATGAGTGTTAATCACACTTACATTGTGAAAGTGAATATACTTAACTAGAGTCACAGTGATTGTGTCTGCATAAGGTTCGACGAGCCAGAACTTAATGCACTTCGTAATGATACTAGTGAGATTGGCTACTTCAAGCACTGTAACTCTGAATATGGAAGTTCAGTAGCTGCCCTTCAGTGAGTATATTGGGTACTTTGTTTAACCAGCCTATCCTCGTGTGACATTACACTTTTCTGTGACATCATGGGAGGAAATCATGCCAGAAGCTGGGAATAGGTGACGGGATGGATCACTTGATGATTACCTGTTCTGTTCATTCCCCCTGAAGCATCTGGCTTTGGCCCCTATCAGAAGACAGGATACTGGGATAGATGGACCATTGGTCTGACACAGTATGGCCATTTTTATGTTCTTATGAAATGCCACTGCTGAACTGGAGAAGCTGATTAGCCAACTCATAACATCACTCCAGCTTCTTGACAGCACTGTCACAAAACATATCTTTCTCTTGTAATTATCACTTAAATGGCATTTTATATCTTCAGAGTACTTTGTAAACACCAATTGTCATAGTCTTTCTCTGAGGTACGTAATAATAAATGAGTTGTTATCCTTATTTTACATCCAAGGAAACTGAGTTAAGTATTTGCCTAAATCAACAGGGCAAATCATTGGCAGAGCCAAGAACATAACCTAAGAGAATTTACCGTATCTCTAGTTATCTAGTGTATTCAGTGGTAAATCAGGTCCTTCTGTTTTAAATATTGGTAGACTAATGGCTCGTCATTTTTTGCTTATGTTTTCTTTTAATATACAGTAGGCCCATTGTGCCCTCAAAGGGGTAAATGTACTCACTACTGTGACAAAGCTCTGTCCTTGTCTCAGTGGTCCCGTGCTTTCTGGCGGATTTCGCTAGCCTCAGAGGTTCACTGTGACCCTCCACATAGCCCTTCTCTCTCTAGAGGCAAGGTCACAGCCTACTGAGCCATTTTAATCATAAGCCAGCAAGGAAGGTGAGGAGAAGTAACTCTCCCTTGCACAGTCTCGGTTGTCTCCCATTTTCAGTGATTAATCAGGGAGGGGAGGGGGAGCCCGGGCCCGCCCTTTGCTACGGGCTCCTGCCCAGGGACCCTAATAGCAGCAGCTGTGGTAGCTGACTTTTTGGAAGTAGGACGTGTACAATTCCCTGGGCCACTTCCCCATAGCAGCCCCCCACTCAATATCTCCTTCACTGTTACCTCAGGGGCCTCCTTTCTTGCGCCTGATATGGTTTGTACTGCTTAGTTCCTCCAACAGCACAGCTTCCTACAGCTCCTGACACATGTGGCCAGCTGACTAACTGGGAGGCTTTTAACTAGTTTCAGCCAGCCCCTAATTGGCTTCAGGTGTCCCAATCAACCTAGCTATCTTCCCTGCCTTCTGGAAAGATCTTAATTGGCCCCAGGTGTCTTAATTGACCTGGAGCAGCTGCCATTTCCTTATCCTGGTAACAGGGATTTGTTTAGCCTGGCGCTAATATATTTGTCTCCCGCTACTTTTCTATAGCCATCTGGCCTTGCCCCGTGACACTATGTAAAGATATCCAGCAGGGCTGTCATCTCACCCATTTTGATATGCGGTCTATCCTCTGATACTGTGTGTATGCACATAGATAGTTTTGTGTTCACTGTTGATTAAATGATAAATGCATCTTTGCAATTATGTACATTTATTTCCCCTCTTGCTTCCAGCTTCATATTCTTCCTTGTCCCTTTTTGGTGAAAGAAGTTTGAATCACTTTTTTCCTAAGTAGTTCAATAGCGATTCCTGGTTGGATCTGCAAGCCAGATATTTTGATCTGTAATTAGAGTGAATTGAAATGGTCTCAATTTGCATACTCTCAGAGGAGATTCTGTTGACTCTTTTGATACCAAATCTTTAGAAGAAAAGACTGTTCTGTTAGAGAAATCTCTTCAAATATAGGAACATAGCATAAAAGCAGACACAGATCTCTTCAGTTTCATTTAGCCCATGAATACAGACTTTTCTAAATATGGGTTAAGGAATGAAACTGCTGACTTTTTTTTTAACATGGTAGCAAGTCCTGACGGTGGCTGAGGGAGGAGGGGAGGGAGTGGTTAGAAAAGGATACTTAACCTTAAATGTGGTCTTAAATGAGACTCCACAGTTTCATATTGGAAGTAGTTATGTGGTTGCTTTTCTATCAGATAACATAGAAGCTAAAGATGGCAATACTGGATTAAGAACTGGACTGCAGATAGAGAAAAGGATTATTCTAAATCAGCACAAAGAGCAGAAAATAAAGTTACCAATGAGACCCTGTTTTTAAGAATAATTATGGGGGTTTTCTAGTTCCTTTTATGTATGTACACAAAGTGCAGAAAGAACATGGGAGGGCTTTGTTCAGAGAGTTACATTTCCAAAAAGCCTTCAGTTTTCAAGCCTCTTAAAACCAGTCTGAATGAATAATATCCTGCACAGTGGATTTTATTGGGCCCCTCTGCCCAGTGCACCAATAAAGCCACAGGAAATTGGTTGAAATATCTCTGGCCAGATTATTTAAAACGAAGACAGTGTTTGCTAGGGCTTTTAAAATCAGGATGGTCTCAAAGCTTTGCTTCCTTGGAGTATTTCTTGATTTACATGAAGAGTGGGCAGGGGACAAACTCTGTAGCAATGATACAATTGGGAAGAGACAGGTTGTCTCTTAAGCAAGAGTCTAAATGACAGACACGAAGCAGGAAGAAGCACTGGGCATAGAACTGTCAGGAATCCTTTCTTCTTTCCTTGTCAAGTGGTCTTGGGGAAACAAACATATGCCTACAAAATTGATAGTAAACTAGAAAGGGATTTCAGAGATCTGGATACGTTCCAATTCATTGGAAGACAAAGGCAATTCATCATGTTGTGTCTCTGAATCTGATTGGGAATAGTCCCTTCAGAGTCTGTCAGTATTTTCATTAAAAATTCCAGGGATTATAAATTACCCATAAAAATTAGCTGTGGAATAAAACTTGCCAAAATGACTCCAAGTCTAGGAAGTTTTTTAAAACATAATATATCTGTTTCAAAACCTGGCATGCTTTCTAAATTACTTCAGTGCAAAAAAGTCCCCTCAAGAATTTCCATGTTCACAATACCCCCAGCTCCACCTCTAACTTTATAAACATTCAGCTTTGTTGTGATTATTCTTTTTTGAGTATTTTCTGTATTTCCCTTGATAGTCTCTCATCTTGGTAGATTTCTCCATGTTCATTTTTCCGTCTGAGATCCCAAATGCCAGTTCTGTCTATGGTGCAATACCTAGGTTCGGTAGTGCAGGATGAGTTTGGAGTTGCAGATTGGACTCAAGGTTTCATTGTGTTAGTCAGTTTAAGTAAAACTCTTATCATAGTAGTTTAGAGAGAGCCCTTTGTAACTCTTCGCAGTGAGTTTTGGACTTAACTATTTTGAGTAATTTTGTATTGTCTGCAAACTTTGCCACTTCATTGTTTTACCCCTTTTTCCAGTTCATTTAAGAATATGTTGAACAGCACAGGTCCCAGTACAGATCCCACTATTTACCTCCCTCTCACTGTGAAAACTGACCATTTCCTGTCTTTTAACCATGAGAGGAACTTCTCTCTTATCCCACGACTTCTTACTTTGCTTAGGAGCCTTTGTTGAGGGTCATTGTCAGAGGCTTTCTGAAAGTCCAAATGGACTATATCCCCTGGATCACCTTTGTCCACATGTTTGTTGACACCCTCAGATAATTCTAATAGATTGGTAAGGCATGATTTCCCTTTACAAAAAACATGTTGACTTTTCCCCCAACATATCATGTTCATCTATGTGTCTGATAATTCTGTTCTTTACTATAGTTTCAACCAGTTTGCCTAGTACTGAAGTTAGGCTTACCGGCCTGTAATTGCCAGGATCATCTGTGGAACCTTGTTTAAAAATCAGCATCACATTAGCTATCTGCCAGTCATTTGGTACGGAGGCTGATTTAAGCAATAGGTTATATAGCAGAGTTAGTAGTTCTGCAATTTCATATTTGAGTTCCTTCAGAACTCTTGGGTCACCACCTAGTCCTGATGACTCATTGCTGTTTAATTTATCAATTAGTTCCAAAACCTCATCTATTGACACCTCAGTCTGGGACAGTTCCTCAGATTTGTCACCTAAAAAGAATGGCTCCGGGGTGGGAACCTTCCTCACATCCTCTGCAGTGAAGACTCATGCAAATGATTCATTTTAGCTTCTCCACAACAGCCTGGTCTTCCTTGAGTGCTCCTGTAGTACCTCAGTAGTCCAGTGGTCCCACTGATTGGCAGGCATCCTGGTTCTGATATACATAAAAAAATTATTTTTTTTTGCTGTTAGTTTGTGTCTTTTGCTAGTTGCTCTTCACATTCTTTTTTGGACTGCCTAATTATACTTGGCAGAGTTTATGCTCCTTTCTATATTCCTTGGTCAGATTTGCCTTCCAATTTTTAAAGAATGTCTTTTTGTCTCTAATCCCCTCTTGTACTCTGTTATTTAGCCAAAGTGGCATTTTGTTTAGTCCTCTTACTGATTTTTTTCTTATTTGGGATACACATTTAATTTGAGCCTCTTATTATGGTGATTTTAAAATGTTTCCATGCCACTTGCAGGCATTTCTCTCTTGTGACTGTTCCTTTTAATTTCTGTTTAACTAGCTTCCTCATTTTTGCGTAGTTCTCCTTGTGACATTAAATGCTGCTGTGGTGGGTTTCTTTAGAATTTTCCTCCCTACAAGAATGGTAAATTTAATTACATCCTCATCACTGTTACTGAGTGGTTCACCTCTTGGACCAGATCCTGTGTGTCAGTTAGGACTATATCAAGAATTGCCTCTCCCCTTGTGGGTTCGAGGACTAGCTGCTCCAAGAAACAGTCAGCTGCTTGACATAGGTGAAAAAAAAAAATCTGCCAAATTGTAGATTATCACAGATGGGGCTGCATTTCAATGTCAAAGACTTTTGCTGCCTCTGAATCTCACCAATGTCAACATTAAACATCTGACCAAAATATGAAATTTTCCTCGTTGCTATGACAATACTTGGGTCTTTGGAAACTAAGTCATTGAACCTGTCACGCATTTTGATTTAAGACCATTGTGTCACAGAGCTCCTGATTGCAGTGAATCACAAAGTAAACATTTTGATAAAAGCAGTCATTGTTTCAATTAGTAATTGGGCCTTGTCCGGAAAAGATGCAGAATTGTAATTGGTGATATAATAATACTGTCAAAATTAAATCTGCAATCATTTTGCTCAGCTGATTGTCCTGAAATGATGTGATGGGGAGAAGCATTTTTCACATTTCGTAAAATGTGAATTGCATATGAAATTGAAGTTAATTTACAATTTGCTATTTCCAAGCTTCCTGCAGGGAGATGCCATCGTGCTGAAAAGCAGTGCTACTGTGACACCAGCCATACAGTGGCTGTCAGCAGGAAACTCTGAAGTGTCCGTTTTAATCAAAAACTTTAACTTCAAATATAATGTAAAATTTGTACGTTGTACCAGCACTTTTCGTGGCCTCACCTGTCAGGAGACTAAAGCAAAACATGAACCAGTCTCTTTTTCTTCTCTAAAGGAAAGCAAGCTTTTGGTACTGCCCTCCAAAGATTTCTGGGCCTTTTATTTCTGTATTTTCAGGTTAATGAACATTTTTTCCCCCTCTTCCCTTAGGGAATGGAGAGTTGAGTAACAAGGAGTTTGTTGCCATTATGAAGCAGCGACTTATGAGAGGTTTGGAGAAGCCCAAAGACATGGGATTTACACGACTCATGAGGGCAATGTGGAAATGTGCACAGGAGACAGCTTGGGACTTTGCCATGCCCAAACAATAACTGCAGCAAATGGAAGAACCTGGTTAACATATGTTATTGGGGGCCATAAATCTGTACTGCTCCTGCAGAATGTACCATTGTCAGATGCTCTGCAGATGAATAATCTTCACACAGAAATCTACTGAATGATTGTTACGCTGAACTAGAAAAAAACCACCCAGAGGACACAGACTACTAACAACTGGAGTTTTTCCAAACACCAGAACAGAAATTGGAGCCTACTGTATCTTCTCCTTTAATTTTTCCACTGCTGATGCCTGTTTAATATTAATCTCTCAGGAAAATTACAAAAATAATTAGTTCTGTGTATTGCAGCCACCAGCTTCATCTCCATAGTATGCTCCGGTGTCCAACAAAACCAGGATTTTATGTAGAATTGAATATGGATAGCTTCAGAGAACAATATTGGTCGGAACAGTCCCATATGTGTCAAGCAGTGGGACAGAAATGCCTAGCAAATCTACTAGTAGCAAATCCTAGTCTTTTGCTCCTGAATGATTTTTAGTTTAGATTTTAAGCACTATTTACAAAAAAGTGTGTTTAGAATGAGCTTTTGAAAAGAGCTGGGTTTACAGAAAACAATAGCAACCTTTGTTTATTACAGAAGCTGTCCGTAAGATTAAGGACAGAAGGGTCCAGCAAGGGTGAGAAGAATGCCACAGAACTTTCTTCTATAGGACTGTTTGTTTTTCCCAGTTGGATTTCTTATCTTGCAGGTGTGGTGTGAAATAGGGATATGCCTGGTCAAGCAGGGGGCTGTCTGAGGCTTAGTTACTGCCTTGGATATAAGGAGTTTTAAAATGGCTTAATTTTTTCCCACCTTTCTCCTCCCTCAGAAGAACCCTGCCTTGCATAAGCAACCTAACATATATGCTCTTTGTAATTCTCTTTTTAATAGGGGGCTCCTCCCCCTGTGAGATTGTCCTTCTGTATGGGGTACTGGCTTTAAAGCTGCTATTTACTGAATGCTTCAACATTGTAAAATATTACTTTAATTACATTGGTTCATAACAAAAGCAAATGCTCATCTTTCATCTGTGTTTATGGGAAGCCTCATGGCTTTGTCACATTTGACTTTATTGGCAGAAAGTCAACAAAAATCTGAACTCTCTCTAAAATAAACTCCTACTAAATGTAAAAGGAGAAAACACAAAGCATCCGTTTTAGAGACGTCTGGAGAGTGGAATTCTGTGTATTGTCCTCACTCACTGGTAAATGTGCTTGTTGTTTTGAAAGGATCTGTCGACTGAAGTTTTACGTGGCCAGTGTTTAGCAAAAAATCTGATAACACACAGTGTACCCTAAAGTGCATTGATTAGAAAGCTTACCTTCCCCCTTTCACCTCCACATTTCAACTCTAAGTCTGACATTGTTAAATATTTAGCCTTCCCTAGCTAATCTAATAACTTGCCTATGTGTGGCATGAAGTATGTATCCGGATGGGAAATAGCATTATTTCACCCAATGGAAATCAAGACAGAAATGGATTGTCCCGTCAGGTTTGGGCACCAGTACAACAGGGCTGTACCAATCACTTTGAGACACCTTTGTAATACCTAATTTGAGCATCTCTCAAACTTCCCATGCAATTGCTTCCTGCATTTTTTCTGGCACCCAGTCAGTCTTCCTTACTGGCTTTACCTCTGGGTTAGTACAAGTATGATGGGAAATACAGTTTTTCCTGAGGCTGATGAAAACACATCATGAAAACTTCTTATTAGTTCCTGGGCTTGTTGTTCTGTTAAGGTCTCAGAAGAAACCATTTCATCCTTTTCCAAAGGCCCTAGAACCTCAGGACCAAGATTTAGCATCTTGTCTGGATTGACAAGAAAACTTTTCCACTCCCACCAGGTTTCAACAGTTTCACATGAAAGGGGTTTTTTCATTTTTTTATTTTTTTTTGAATGAGTCATGGGTGCAAATAATTTAGCAACTTAGCATGTACAAGTCCAAGTTGTTGTCAGATAAAAAGATATAGCTCCTCTCTACACTCACATCAAGTATGTGAAACAATAGATTGTAAACCATCAAATCCCAACCACATTGCATGACTATTACGGTGCTCCTAATTCACTTAACAAATCCTAATTCTAGAGCATTAATGTAATCCATTTTCATGAGAGAGAGAGCTCCACAGAGCTCAGGTGATCTGAAGAAGAGCTCTGTGGAGCTTGAAAGCTTCTCTCTTTCACCAACAGAAGTTGGTACAATAAAAGATTTTACCTCCCCCATCTTGTCCCTCACATCCTGGGACTAACATGGCAACAACACACAGACATCTATTTTCATGTCCATTGTCTCAGCCCTACACTGCCTTCTACTGTGAAAATGGTAGTAGTTTTCAAAGTCTTTTATATTTATTTTTACTAATTTTTTTTGCAGTTATTGAAAGTCACCACCTTCTCATGGGTATTCAGTTGTCTTTGTGAAAGGTGTTGATATCAAAAGGAATCCACATCATAACTGGCTTTGTAGTTGCTAGTTTCCACCAAGAAACCAAGGACTGAATGGGCATGAAGACAACTACTTGCTTACTCCTAGTCTTTCCAGCAGAGAGGGGAGGGGAACTTAAGATGCTGATGCTGCCTCTGGTCTACCCACTCTGTGTATAAACTTATCAACCAGCGATCTTTGACAGCTGTGAAACCTACTCTGAGAACTTCACCAGTCCCTTTGTTTTTCCTTTTTAAACAAAACTAAGTGCATATTAAAGCCCGCTACAGAACTGAATTCATCAAAAAGCCTCTATTGTGAATATGAAGAACAATGCATGACAAGTATGAATTGCAAAGCTCCGATTCTACTGAGAGTTAGCTAGCCTAATCATTTGCAGTAGTTATCCTGTCCTCCATTTTGGATTTTCTGCTCCAACAAACACATTCCTGGGTGCGTAGAGCAATCGAAAGCAGATGAATTTAAAGCAAAAGAAAGAACCACATGCAAGATACTTCAGGACAGCCAAACAATCATCCAATACTAGTTTGGCTCCTCTCGGAGACAAAAGAGCAGAGCCACCTGCAGCTGTTTAAGCTGCACAGTGGTCACAAAGGCAGCTGAAAGTTCTGAACACAAGTATGAGCACTCTATTTTTATCCACTGTCAGAAGGTCGTTGACTGAGACCAGTGCAGTCTCTGCCGCACCCAGCTCTAAAGCTGGACTGATGAAGTTGAGAAAACCTGAGGACTCCAGGTACTGAGTTGCTTTGATGCCACCTTCTCTATAATCTTCTCACAAGGGAGATTGGTGAACTGAGTGATAGTAAGCAGGAATCCCAGTGTCAAGATAGACTCTTGATCAAGAAACAAACAGTTGCTTGTTTAAGAGATGCTGTGACCCTACTGTCCTGAAGAGAGGAAATGACACTTTTTGCTAATAATAGGTCCTGTGTGTGAGCCATAGGTTTTAATAGCCAAGAGGGACAGGAGATAATAGGATGGACCTTATTGAGGCTGGAAACAAAGTACAGGGTCCCAAAATTGGGCCACCTTTCTATGTCATACCATGCGCTTGTCCATGCTTCAGCACTCTAGGGCTAGTTTCTGTAGGATGAGATCCTCTGCAGAAGAAGGCATAAAGAGAGAGCTGAGGTAAGAAGACTAAAACTAAAATCCATAGAGGTGGGCATTGTTTTCTAAAAATTGCAGCAGAATCTCCGGTTATGCTTCCTACTCAGAGTAAGCATAGGGGTGGGAGGAAAGAATGTGCAGACACTAGCCACCGCTGCTCACTCGTGGAACTGTTTCAATGTGTCCTCCAAATGGTTAACATGTATGGGATCCACTCATTCCTAAAGGCTAGAGCACACATATTTCTCCTAAATTTCATACGGCCATTTGTTTCGTATGTGCCCCTTTTGAACTGAATTGGACGTAAACCCACTAAATGAATGACACATGGAGCAGGAGAGACTTTTAGGACTTTTTTTTTTAATTTGATAGATGCATTTTTTCGCAGTGCCTGCCTGGATGAAGAAAGCAAGCTGGGTTCCTAAAAGAAGCAGTGACTTGCTAGAGCAGTGAAGAATAATTGTCTGAAGTTCTGGAGCTCAGCTGCATCTAACCTTTGATTTACGTGTTCCCAATTAAATGGTTAAAATAAGGCATAAAACCAAACTGACTTCTTTAAGGGTCAAGCCTCCAGGGTAGTTATAGATCATTTAATTTAATGGAGGACTGTGAGCAACATGAGTGACACAATTGAAGATTTTATTTAATATAAAACAATTAAGCAAACAGGCATTACAGTATAACCGTACAGTGCAGGATACTCACATTCTAAGACTAAATGTGGGAGAAAAGTGGAGTAATAAGAAAAGTAGGGATCAGTGGCAACCCCAGGGTGAAGGATTGGGTGAAAACTCATCTACCTTGGGTGCTTGGTGTTGACCCAGAAGGGAGGCCTGGCAGTTTCGGTGCTTGAGACCTCACTAGCAAATGGCTTTAAAAAAGCCATTGCCACAAGTGGCTTCTACAGTGCCAGGTGCAGATTGCATAAGATAAAAGTATGAAAAGAAAACAAATCTCCACAGCAGCTAAAGGTTTTCTTCAGTCAGGACATTAAAGGTAAAACTAGTCCTGTAGCTAAAAGAACAGTTCTGCCATCTGCTGTGCAAAGAGAGTTAAAGCAGCCCAAACTGATTTCCAACTTGAAGGAGCAGTGAATCTGGGAGACCTTGTTTTAGTCCTTGCAGTTCAATTTTCTTTTGAATGTGAGTCATGGAGCCTTTGCCTTTTGCCCCATATTACCTTGTCTATGTCATAAATCCGTGCCAGAGTTACAGATAAGAGTGAAAAGTAATAAATGATTTAACACCTCTCGGCCAGAATGTTTGTGTCCCAAAAACAGTTATACATTTAAAATGTGTCCTAGAACTTAGGAAATGGGGTTTCAATCACTTTTGAAAAGGGCTGAATTCCATAACCCTTTGGCCAAGAGATGTTCAGTCCAGAGGCAAATATATAACCAGCAGAGGGCAGTGCTACTCACTGGAAGCCCTAAGCAAAAATATTTTGAGCGCCCCCTCCCCCACCTTCTAAAATACTAATTTCATTATTTTCACAATCCAAAAAAAATCCCAACCCTACACATCCTTCTATACTTGTTAAACAGTTCACGTTAAATAAGATGAATGATATTTTGGGGTAATGCTAAATCAAGGCCCCCCTTGAACTGCCTGGGTCTCAAACAGTTGCTGAGTATACTTACAAGTTCCAAGCATATAAGTAGGAATTATGAACAACATGAACAAACAAAGAGGCTATTTTACTGCACAAACATTATGGGAATTACGAGGGGAAAAGTTTTCTCCTATGAATATATTCATTGGAGTGACTAAACACAAAGAAAACCCCAAAACATAACTAAAACTTGGACGTAACAATTAAAATACAATATAAATCATAGTATGCAGTACGATAGAGCATTTTCTACTCTACAAAACATCAGTGTAAAAGAACAGGAAAGCTTTGTTATATTACAAACAAGTTAAATGAAGCAAATGCAATCAGTTTGCTCACTTCTAAAAATATATATTCAGAGACATGAGTAATATTAAATGTTTTTAGTATTGTGCGTTCAAAACAAAATTGCCTCATAGAGCATTTACGTAATAGAAAGGTAATGAGGGCTGATTAATGCTTGTTACTCACTATAATTCAGCCTGAAAGAGCTTGTTCTGTTAACAAAAACTAACTAGACATTTAGTTGGGATAAATACGTAGTTTTTTGTCTTTTCAATCAGATTGCACCCCAGGCGAAATCCTAGATGTGGCTTAATGTTTGATGCTTTGTCTGATAGTGTGGAGCTGATGTCTTTATTATGTAAGGAGATAAAGATTTCAGAGTAACACAAGACTGTCATTTCTTTCAAATATGCTTGTAGTTGCCATTGACGTTGCATGCAACCAATCAATACATACAGTCCTAATTAAACCATTTTAATTATTTAGTTGACCACATAGAACATGACCAAACAAAAGAAACATGTACAGTTCTGTGGTGCATTGAGGGATAGTGTACACGACATGACAATATATTTTTGGTAATATTAATGAAGTAAATTAAATAGAGTAAAGGGTGGCCAGTGTTGATTTGCCTTTGTGCCCACTCATTTCTATAAGGAAGGTAATCTATCAATTGGTACAGAAGTGTGATTATGCAGA